CAATCTTTCCTCACGTGATTGTCACTGATGAGTCCAGCCTCTATTTGTCCACATCATCAACCAGACTACTCCATGCGTGCTGAGTAGGCTGGGACACTTCGATAAGATTTTAAATAAGAACGAGTCTTTCTGCTTGCACTCAAGCGGGGTTACGTCTGGCCAATTGAGTTGAGGCTGGTGATGAGGAGGCGGGAAAAGAGAGGGTTTCGCCTCATTCCGGACAATCGTAAACCATTACTGTTACTGTAAGTAGAACGTAGTGCCTTTTTAAATCACTTTTGCAGGCAGTGTTTGCATCAGCTCATGGACTGCGAGCTGATGCTGTGGGTCTCAAGACTCGTCATTCGAGACCGAGAAATGTGGGGCCAGTAAGTGTACGGAGATAAGGTTGGAGCGAGTTTCGGAGTGCAGTTTCAACCCCGCCTGAACTGGTCTCATCAACAGCCAAGCAGGACTCGAAGCATGCCAGTTCAGCGTGTAATCTCGACTCGTTACCCATTCCACCACATTGCCACGACTGCTCTCGAGTGATGGGGCAGTTGTTAACTTCAAGCAAGGCTCGCATTTTCGTATAACACATTCTGTGATGGGAGTGCTGATGAAGCAAAGTTGTATTTGCTATAGCAATCGGTTACGTTACTTATTTTTTGCTCTTAATTATGATTTCAAGATTTTTTCATTTTGCTAATTAGTTATTCTACATTTATGCCACTATGGTATATTTTCGTTACAATCCATCGAAATTATTCACACTTTCACTCTCTCACCACACTCCTTCCATGCATCCCTTTCGAGAATTGTCAAGGGACATTTCAGTTCATTGGAAATGGCATGACGTAGCTTTGTCACAGGCCAAAAGAAGTCTCTTTTCTGCTTTTAACGGTTGTTATGATAACATTATTTCTTGCTACGGTGCCATCTAGTCCCAGGCATCAATTCTCAACTTTCGTCTGTGCTTCCACGTAGACATGGCAATGCGAACGACTTGCATTAACCAAATTCACCAAGCGCAAATTCAATAGCTCTCATAAATCGTTTGGGGCCTCTCCTTTATAGGTTAGCCAGACACAAACTTGGTACAGCTTAATCAGATTGGATAATGATGTACAGCAATGACAACTCTTTCAGCTTTTCCTCTCTTTCTCTCTCTCTCTCTCTCTCTGTCAAAGTTTCATTTGAAAGGAAAGCACTTTTTGCATTGGCCTCTTCGACGCATTAGAATTGGTATCTATTCCTTATCCTATTGTGGCGCCACTTTTGATGCATACAAACTCCATCAAATACCATCCTCAATAATCGCGTATATTCGTATATTTTTATAAAGCCTCTTCACGATAACCTTCTTTTTTCCTTCAAGCATCCCTCTTCGCCTTCCTCTCTCAGCTCAGATCCATTCATCTGAACTGTCTGTGGAGCTTTCGAAACCCATATTTTATTATCAGCGTGAGACACAGTTGGTCATCAAACCACGAGGACATCATTATTCCAGTTTGCCAAGGTCGTCGAAATGTCTGGAATGCGGAAGATTTTCTCAAACAAAGGCTAGGGAATGGATGCCGGAACCTGCTTTGATGACAAGTCAAGAGAAATACCGAGTTCATTCATATCAACTCGAGTCATATTTTTGCATTCTGTTTGGCCCAATAACCAATATTATGGTTGCTGTCAACATTCCATTGGTTTGCTTGGAGCGATAGCCACTGACACTAAGTCTACTCTTTTTTGCTTGGCATATGCTACGGTATGCCTCATAAAAAGTTGTTCTTCTGTTGGCTGGCCTGCCTATTTCAGTCCACCTTATCTACCCGTATCTGTATCCACGACGGGACTCGAACTGTAGTTGTATGCTGCCCCTTTGGCTACAACACCCTAGCCCAGGTGAGTTCCTCCACTGGCAGAACCTCCTCGCCGATAGGGCCTCTTTTGGCCTACCTTGTTAGCCCCAAACAAAAGTAGAATCCTCATATTCAATGTTAGTGTGCTTCAAAATGTCCACTTAATAATAGAATTTTTGAGAAATCGCCAGCATAAATTATAATATTAACTCAAGCTACTTAGGATGACCAAGTTTGAAGCGTACTCACACCGACTGTAAGTAAATCTGTTGATTTTTATGGCAAATTTTCTCTTATTTCTTTTCTTGATTTACTGATAGCTTCGAAAACCTACTTACTCTAAATACTAGACGTAAGCGCTGAGGCTCCCTATTTTCGCAACGTTTTTGAGTTATCACCAATAACAACTGTTGGAAAGTTTGTTATTAGGTAGAGTGTTGTTAGGTAGCCATCAGTGGAACTTGGATACGAACTCGAGTCGGCCCAGTTCACTTATAGAGAAATAAGATTTACTATTTGACTAACATAAAGAGAGAGGTGGGTACTTGAGGGTCAAGAGTGGAGGAAATTCGAGAATCGGTGACGTGATACATGTCGCTTAGGAAGAAGTTACATAACGTGAAAAACACTAGCTAGTAAAAAATAAATAAATATTTCTTTAAAAGATGAAAAATTTTAAATAAGTCTTTGATTAAAATGTAAAACGAAAAATTAGAATTTGCTAAACTCTCAATGAACTAACTTTCAAAAGAAAGATTTGCCAGTAAGCGTAAAATTGATGTTGCCAGAGTTATCATTTGTTCCCTAATTTCACCAATAAATTTAGGTGGTGCAATACTAGTAGGGAACCAAAAAGATGGAAGACCCTTAGAAAAAGAAATCCTTACTTTCTTTATGAGGCGTACAACTTTCTAACTTGACAAACCGAGTGGAGCAAGACCCATTAGAAGGGGTATTATTGCATATATACCTAAAATCTAAGTGCAGGAAAACTGTAAATTAAGCCCCAAATAGTAAAATATGATCAATAGAAACCTTGTCATAACAAAGATACTCTAAAACGGTTACTGGGGGTTGTGTAAAGGAGTCGCCGGAGCATCGTCCTAAGACTCTGATACATTTATGCTGCGCCCTCTTCTGTCTTATTGTAACAGACATCTGTCCACAATTTTGCCAATGGAAGAGCCAACGCCCAGAATAGGAATTAATTTTCTAAGCCTATAACATGTCCGGTACCCTTAAAGCAAACTTCCTCGCAGGACAACCAATATTGCGGCAGTATCCAGGCCTCAGAACGTCATGCAAATGAGGAAGATCTTTCAAGAGAATGGAGTAATTTTGAAGTGAGCCCCGATCACTTCAATTGTGCGAAATTGTGGCCTCCGTGAGCCAAATAAGTAAAAGGAAGAGTCAACAACAGTCTTAAATAGAGAAAAAGTGAATGGACCCATCTTGAGTACCGTACCACGTTCGGCGTCCTTGGCCTTCGAAGTTGGGATAATTTTATGGACCTGGTATCTGGGTGCATCCACCCATCCCATATCCTCGTATTTATTCACATTTCAATCCCACTTTCCATCAGAGATAGCTTAGAATAAACAAGTTAGAAGTGATGGCGAAAAGGAAGTGAGATACGTGGCTGTGGGAGAGGTAGAGGAGAAGTGTCAAGAAGGAAGGCGGGAAGATACCAAAAATGTATCTTTAACTAGTTTTCATTCGGAGTTGTGAGTGGCAAGGCCTAGAGTCGATGACAGAGAAACGCCTAGAAATGTACCAAGTTACCGGTCCGATTCTAAAAAATATCATAATTACTATGGCAGAAGGCGTCGGACGAGGTACATCCCTCGAGATCGCCCTGACAACACGACCAAGTTGCGGACACGAGGTCAAGTAGATTCTAGACCGTGGAAGTAAACTGCAAGCAAAATAGAGGTCACGTCTCTTGGTTGGCATGGCTACGATTAAGGTGAAACTATTTGTGACTGTCGGATAGGCTTAGAGAAAGAGTCAGAGAAAGAGAGAGCAGAAGAATTATTGAACAAGAGGAGGCTTGCTAGGGTTCCCTAATTCACATGACTCAGGGGCCTTGCACGCATGCACACACAAATAGTATAACCGCATGTCCAATCACGCTGCAATATCGCAAGAGAAAATGTAAGTTTATTTACGTATGGAAACAGCAGGCACCGAATAAACATCCTCTTCAGGCATAAACTTCGCTCATCTGCAGGCAAGTGGGACGAAGCATGAAGTAGCTAATCCGCTTATAGGATTTCTGATAGAGATTGCGAAATAGCGTAAGGGAAGGTGAGGATATTTCAGTTGGCTTCGAGTTTGGTGAATTTGGAATAAAGAGTGGCTTCATACGCTGACGATGTCTGTAGTACAGATGCACACACACATACACACACACACAATTATAAGAGTAATTAGATTGGCATAAAAAGGAATCAACCAAATAATTATATGTTTATACTTATATTTATATATATAAATATATATTTATAGATAAATATATTTTTCAGTTCTTGTTGTTTGCCGTTGTGCGCAAGAATTAGCCGATTAGCCTTTTTGACTCAGTGTTTGGTTAAACTGCTTGTAGAAATGAAATCCAGCTCTGATCATGTCCATTAGGTGACTCAGGCCGTTTTTACCGAGAACCCCAGTAGAGTGCCTCGTGAACTTCGTCAACCTGAAGGCGCAGAAAATAAAACAACTGTAGATAGAAGAATCCGCCGTCGTCTTACGGTGAGATTGGCGTAAGAATCTTTTAAGTAAACAATTGCAAATTAGATTAAGGTCACCAAAAAACTCATGAGGCTGATTTATTTCTTATTTGCTTATAGTGACAGATTACAATTAGATTACTCATTTCCGACATCAGTAGGCACATTATTTCAAATAATAACTGGAATGGAAGAAATTTAGATTCTGTTCCCACCGGAACTTCAAGGGTTTTTTGTCTTTATCACTTTGAAGGCATCGTCAGGGCTTATTGCTACTCGAAAGATGAGAAAATTATTTTTAAATATTAGATTCGCCCGTTATCAATGTCTGTCATAGTGGTAGTACAAAGATCAGGATGCATTTCTTGTAGCAGGAGGGTGATGGCTAGGAAAATACCTTGTCGGGTTGCACTGAGGTCAACTTGCGAATACTTTCCTCCTAACTTCTCTGTACGAGATGAAGGTGAATTGGCAGGAAGTCGTCAAGGCAGTAGTCTTCAAAGACCTGACTTTCATCCATCGAAGTTGCAGACTGACCCGCTATAACCCCGTCCGCCTCACTGTCAGCTTTGCCCTCTCCAACTACCTCGTCTAGATCAGGAGGAGTTGGCGCCTCTTGTACCGCACCAGCCGTACATTCGGCCATTTTCCTACTGACGGCACGTCTTTAGGACTATGGTGGTGAGTCGGTCTGGTGACATAATAAACGGAGACTACTGGCTTAAGGAGGATTTTGGTCAGATTTTAGGCTAATGTGTACATATTGCCATATTTTTCAGAGTTTTCGCATAACAACAACGCCAATTTAGGTTGTTTACAGTGATTTAAATAAATAATGCACACCTACAAACTAGTATAAATAATAATCAACAGTTTGCACTAAATTAGTATTAGAAGAATCGAAAATTCTATGGGACCAATATGACTGATGTTCAGCTATACTTATAGAATCAACCGTAATTTCAAGCTCTATGACTGAATTTGTGTGAGCGTGTGATGTCACTAAATAAAAAGAATAAAAATATTATAAAACTTCTAACCCAAAATAAAAAAACCTACCCCAACATTTCAAAACTACCTATCCTAATTTATACTCCTGTAACATAAAATATATTGAAACTTGCATAAAAACAACTAAAACAATGAAATAATTCTATGACAAATAATATAAACACTTAATATTTTGTACACCAAAAGGATTACACCAAGAAAGGCGACCAGCAAAAATCCTAATTACATCTAATATCTAATTTTCCTATTTTTATGCCCGGCCTACATTTATGCAGATGAGTGGAATTGATGCAGGAAAAGGGAACGGATGTGGTCACAACTGTTTGCTTCCGTAAATAAAATGGCGAGTGATCCATGAATGAGGACGCTTGATTTAGGTTTGTGAATTCATGTGCACTCTGTACATGTACTACTCATGAGCCAGTTGACATGTCAGAACAAAACCATACACCACGTTAGTTTAGCCATGAAGTCTCCATATGTTTAAAAAGCTAGGATTTTAGACAACTCAATCTCGTGTCCTGTACCAACTATATGCTCACCAATCTCCCATTTCTGGACCCATAAATCTTGAACAACCTCAAATAAATAGCTCTAAGATCTGTCCCATATCGACACTAGCGCATGAGCACATAAATTTACAACGATCTGACTTGAAGTGGAGGTCCGTGGATTCTCAAAAATAAGGCATGGTCTAAGAAGATGTTGGCCTTTCTCGCTACATGATCTTCACGTTCAACCCGCTCAGTAATCCGGTAGGTAAAATTATTCTTTGTATTTCTGAATTTTCGTATATAAGTAGAGTTTCGAGACTACCATGAATTCACTAATATGAGATGTATTCACACTATTTAATTTAAGCTGATGATGAGTGGTTAATATGTCAAGCTCACATGCTGCACTGCCACGGTTCTACTCCCGATGGGGTTGTTGATAAGACCGATGCGAGGTCGAAACTGGAGTCCACCTCAGCCTCGATGAGAACCACTTTAGGGAAAGCAAGGCTATTTGAAATTCAATGTAAACGTCAACTCTACTCATATCATTGTGGGAAAATTTTACTACCAGTCTTTCATCACCTTAACGAAATATGGTCAATACCTCTCAGTATTTCTTAGTCTCATGTGGTTTGTGCCTGTTAGACCCACACTCTTTAGTATCATTGGTTTCGTCACCCATATTTTAACCCCAGAATTATGACTTCTCATTAAGTAATTGAAGTTTCTATTAGGAATAAGCAGGATTTTATCGAGTTACCTTTTTTGGTTTGGAGCTTTTGGTCAATTTTTCTTCAATGTAAGTCTCCGGCTTCTATGGTGACGGACTCAAGCTCGGACCGGATTAATCAGGGCCACATGGCAGTGAGCCAATGCCATAATTGCACGATTTGGCCGTAACAGGTTTAGGACGATCCTCCTTTTGAGTTCGGTAAGACCAATTTACGAATCCCTTTCAGCCGACTTTTAAGACGCAATGAAAGTTATGCCAGCAACATTCTTTTACAGGGTACTTCAAACACCTTATTTTCCTATTAAAACTTAAATAGGCTAGTCCACTTTCCTTTTAAAATGTCTTATCATATAGCCTCGACGGCATTTTTAATAGAAATAATGTATCAATTTATTTTTCATTATACTCGGCGACGAAAAATATTAAAATGGAATGAGAAAAGCTTCTGAGAAGAAAGACTAATTAAAAGTTAATTGCTCCGTGATCCCTGTTCATATGATTGTGGGAAAATTCAATTACCTGTTTATGC